TCAGGACTCTAGCAGATGAAGAAAATTGTAATATTCCACTCCTAGTTTAATTTCCAAAGCCACACACAATAAACGCTTACCACAACTTAACTGGCCACAACCATAGATAACACATAGGACAACAATAGTTGTCAGTAGAACGTCCAGAATATGGTTCACATAAATTTCTTAGAAAAACAGCATGTTATTTTTTAGAACTAAGTAGTAATTTGTCATGTTAACTAAAACGAAAAACAGTAGTAAACATGGAAAAGTTTCGGTTGAAAATATAAGGAGATTCACTATGAATCTGCTGTTGTACTGAAACTCGTAATCAAGGTATATCTGCCTAAGTAAGAAATAAAGACTATGCATCATCTCAACATTTTTAACTCTGCTAAGCACCCTAAGTGTTTTGTCTATTTCTATTCCGATGAATACACGTATAACTCTATGTAATGGAAAGCTTTTAAATCAAACTACTATGAATCGGTGCAATAAGTATTTTGAGACTAAGTAGTAGGGAATATGAACCCTCATAATTCCATATCTGTTCAGATGTGAATCCCACTTGGTTCTAGAACGGATATCAAGATGAAACGAAATTTCAGAAAAGCATCACAATTTTGTAGAAGGATTTGTAAGAAAGTGATTGATTCCAAAATAGGTTTCTTCACAAGCCAACATATTAGCTGTTTAGTCAGTAAAAGATGAAAGACCACCGAAGCTAGTGTTAAAACACTGTAAACAGCTTTTCCGATGTCCTTTTATGGGGTTGTTGCTGTCGTGGCTGACAGAAGGGATATTTAAAAGTCAGGGGATAACAAAAGCTTCGAAACTGAACCATCAAGTTGATAAAAAGCAAAACCTGATATCGCTACACCTCATCTTTTAAGATTTGAGGAAATACTTGTCAGCTGGAAAACAATAAGGATATTCTAACAATGAATTACCTCTCACACTGTTTAGACTGTCAACCAGGAAACATTTCAATGTAAAGTGTCGTATTCGTCACATTCTCTCACATAAGAAAATAACTAATTACATTTACAGTTCCTAGAACAAATTTATACACATATAAAACAGTAATTTTGAGGCAAAAGAAAACAGTATAACTGACGAGTCAGACCTGCTGTTAATACATAGTAGAGTACAAATTCTAAATTACCGGACTGATATGTATAAAAATATACTTTACAAATGTATATATATGTATAATATACCTATCTACAGAACTTCTGATAGTTTTAAATTAGCAGTTTTAAGTCCGTATGGAAACAGCCACAGGAATCACTAAAGTATCCTTGAAACTAAACTGCTAATTGTATCCCCAGTATGCATAATTTTAGGATTTTAAACACCCATTTAAAGTATCTCAGTTAAACAACCTATTATGGAAACTAACAATTTTAGGTCAGTAAGTCTAGTTATTTTTCAATGTGTATTTGTACACATTTTGGAAGCATCAGTACTAATTTGAAATTGTTTGATGTAAAATCACATAAGACTGATAAACTTTAACTTATCAAGTAACTTTAAAACTGCAAATAATAATTAACTCGAGATGAAATGTTTCTCACTATACATTATCATATATTACTGCAACATTTTAGAATAAGCATCAAGTTCACTTGTCTTTAAATCCCTTTACTTATCAAAAAAATCTTGTTTTCTCTACTTCATATATTTATTACCAAGGAAGACAAAACTTTTAGAAGAAATACAATGAAACTGGAAGAATGCTACTACTCGTAAAATTCGCACATTTATTTCGCTTTATAAGTATGAATAAAGCAAGAACAAGAGTTCTTCACAATAAAAGGGGACCATCATCTATTTCATCGGCTTCTCATCAGCTGCTCACAGCCCAAAAACACTATTAAGCTTATATACAGAAACAATTTTAACTTACTTACACAGAGAGTTCATTTTTAAACAAAAATTTGACGTATGCATACAATGGTAATAATAATAACCACTTTATCCCGAACAATAATAATCATACAGATTGGAATTTTTTGATGTTACGTAGTCAAATGAAAGAGAGGCAGGGGAAAACTGTATCTCACTGCTAAGTTGGTTCCCATCTGTTGGACAACATGTTCTTTGGTGCAATCAAAATTCGACAGATACCCTTCTCATGTTAACTCCAACTGTGCATACAAATTCCCATGTATCTATGGGAGCAATTACATTGGGAGAACAGAAAGAAGGGCATACCTCCGATTTTCTGAACATGTACCAAATAGTGCCTCAAGTTTGCCGAAATGATTTCCATCAAGCTCCTGGAACCCTATTTATGCGTTCAGAAATAAGTAGTTATCAGTCTTTCTCTGCCCTGGTAACTGAATGTTTTCATCATCTCTTTCATTTGACCACGTAACACCAAAAAATTCCAATCTGTATGGTTATTATTGTTCGGGATAAAGTGATTATCATTATTACCATTGTATGCATATGTCAATTTTTTGTTTAAAAATGAACTCTCTGTGTAAGTAAGTTAAAATTGTTTCTGTACATAAGCTTAGTAATGTTTTGGGGCTGTAAGCAGCTGACGAGAAACCGATGAAATAGATGATGGTCTCCTTTTATTGTGAACAAACTGTTGTTCTTGCTTTATACATACTCATAAAGTCTTTTGAATATTAAGCACTAAAATGTAAGTTTAGAAAGGAAACAGAATTACAAAATGTGGTATTTATTTATCTTTAGCGGAAAATGGAGATTATAAAAGACAGTGTGTAACCGATAGGAGAATAGAATTTGGGTACTGTGAACGAGTACACTTTCATAGAAGAATAATTTTATCTGACGTAAGACAGGGATGCAGCACTGTTTATTTACTGATAAGTGAATAGAGAATAAATTAGTAGTTATTGTAAATAACTTAATCGCACTGTATCACTGTGTCAAATCAGATAATATTATTCCTTTATGAAATGCTGTATACTATTTATTAAACATTTTCTCCTTAAGATGAGTAAACTGACTTTTCATACTTATTTCAATCTATAAAAATAACTATGACAGTTTTATCAGAATCTATTTAATCAAAACTATTTAGTCAGAGATGTGGTTATGTGAGTGTTGTTCACTGCTACTACTGATCCAGAAGTACCATATCACATGGATTACTTAAGACTTTAAGTTGTAATCGATCATGCATTTAAATTCTTTATCTGATTACAGAAAACACGTAGTTCGAAAAGCCGTCAAAGTAAACATGTAAACTTTAAATGCTGAATAACTACTCCAAGAGACTATCCGAAATGAATGATTTTGAAGTGAGGCGTTATAGAGATGTTAGGATGGCAGGGCCAGATATAAGCCTAAATAAAAATGTTGAATTCAACTGGACATTTTGGATTTCCTGAACTGTGATTTCGCCGAGACAAACAACGGCGTCTATGTCACCAAATGAGTCCCTAGTATGAACTCTTCGATGGGATCTTGAGGTGTTATTTGACTGATGGTGGATTTCAGTGGAATTTAGAACTACCATGTTGCTCATGACCCATCAACTAGATGTCCATACATACCAGTGGGTGGTGGTGTTCTTAATAAAACTCGCATTCATTAGCTGTCATTCCATGCACCAAAAATTCCAGTGTATGAAAATGGATACCGCTTGTATGAAAGGCTGCACTGGTAGCTCATTAGCCAAGTTTATAATTCTTACTATCTTAAAAGATGGTTGATGGTTTCCAGAGCCAGTCAGATGCAGGCAGATTTAGCCCACGGATATCACGCAAAAGAAAGGACGCATCCAGGATCCCACTGTTAGTTGATACAAAAAGAACAAATTCGTCACTGAAAGACTAGGATACACTTTTTCACTATAATAGATTCCCATGTAATATTCACAGGTAATATGGTAGAAGAAGACAGTCAGACTTCAACTGAAATGCGTTTCGAAAATCGACAAAGACTTTAGACTGCTGCAAACAGCCAACTTTGAAGTCAGCATTTTATTCTATCCCTGGGATAGACGTTTGTCTGGAATTAAATCACACAATAAAACAAGCAGTGTGGTTTTGTAATAGGTTCTGAAATAAACCATTATAACTGGTTACAAATCAAAACATTCCTTTCATCAGACAGTATAATGCCATCCAACTGATTACGTTGCACTTTATGCCGCATACCTGTTTACATGTCTGCACAGATAAGCTTATTTAAAGTACGGTAATTGCTTCGTAAAAGTAATAGTGTGGGAAAATATACCTTCAGGGGACCGAATTTGTAAACAAAGAATCTTCAGAATAAAACAGGAAAAGCAATCATTTTATTTATGGAGAGACTGGTGCCCGTATATAAAATTTGTCTGGAGAAAGCAGGAGAGAAATATTGAAATTTGTCAAAATACTAGTGTTCAATGAATTCGATTCTTGATGGTGTTCGAGACAACTTTTACCTCGCTTAGTCTACTTAGTCAAAGTATTTCCGATAATAAAACGGAAAACAGCGTAGCAAACTACTCTCTTGATATTAAAAGTTAAAATCTGATGCATTCCATTGATTTTAGTTTACGCTTCACATCCTTATCTTCACATTTAATGACTTAATAAGTGATATGCGACACTTTTATATGACACGTGCTTCATGTATATATATATATAATGTCATCCAAGCTTAATATGGGAACTGAGCACTTGAAAGTAGCAAGTATTTATAGGTGGTTCTACTTAGCTTAAGTGTAAAGGATTTTAGCACACACATTGTTATAAGCCATTCGCTGACAAGAAATTAAATTTAATAAAGCTTTCAAGACCAAAAGTAATATAACCCAGTGAACTACAATCAAGCAATGTACTGGAATGCAGCAACGACATGAGAAATCCATGCAATGAGTATTTATAATGTTGTGTGATAAAATATAACACAAAGTAACCAGTGAATTTTCGAAAATCCCCTTTATTCAAAAACAATAATTTAGACAGCCAGTTGACGATTAGTGCAAAAATATGATAAAATATAATTACACCATCATTTAGAGTGGCTGATAAAAATAACAGACTTACGAGGTAACTTCTGACAAGCTTCACAACGTCCATCGACAACACACCGCATGGTTTTAAATACTTCATTATATTCACATTTTTGTACTAATAAATCAGGACCTGGATGCTTCAAATGCTTGGCACACTTCAACACATATTCTGGGAGTTTACTAGTCCATAGATCGTGTACAACTAAACAACCTGCATTTGATGGAGCTATCCATGCTTGCTTCTTATCCGCAAACCTAGTCACTCGAAATCTTGACTGAGAAGATAACGCCTTTAGATCCTCTTCCGTCAGTTCTACTGTACACTGAGATATGTTTTCATCCTTCATATTTTTCATTACGGATTTGGACAAACGTCCTACAGAGCGTCTTTTTAGATCCGCCTCACCTTTTGTATGCTTGAATCGCTTTTTAGAAGGTTTCTTTAATTTCACTTCCGGAGTGACTGGTGTTAAATTAGAAGGAGAAGCTGATTCTTCACAGCCACAATCTGCAGTTGGTGAGTTTTTATTTTCTGAATTTATTTTTTCATGTCTCACACTCAGTAACACAAATCCAGGTCTCGTATGACCCCGCATATTTTCAACTATAACATTGCCTGGTTCTGGAGGAAATTCCAAGGAGCCTCTCCGCACACATTGATGAATATCTTTTATCGTTAGTGCCTGCGCAGTTGGACCACTTGCATACGAGTCATTAATTGATTGACTAACGGGAGATGTTTCTTCTTGTGGAACATCATGTTGAACAGTATACGGGTATAGCACAATAGGCTGACCTGGACATTCTACAGTAACGGAACCTTTTTGGCTAGTATTACTACTGTCATCTCTTGGAGTTATATGTAACGAAAGACCACTTTCTCCTTCAAACTTGGCTTCAACTGGTACTAGAAATGTAGACATATCTGAGTGTTCACTATTTACAGCCCAGTTTTGATTAGGATGCTCATTTAAGCCAAAATTTTGAATATTGCATGGGAGCGGTTCTTGATTTTGAGACTGAATGTTCGACTGACTTTGCAGTGGAATGGTGTCTTTGACAGTATTATAATGTTCTGATAATTGCAATCCAATCAGCTCTTGAAGCAGCAGCAGATAAAAGTGCCTTTGAGCATTGAAATCCATATCTCCGAGTTGCAGGCTCTGGAGCGGATTTTTAATATTATTAGAGGAGTGCGCTGGTCTCTGCTGAACATTCTGGATGTTTGCTTGAACCACGTCAAAATTATTTATACCGTCTAATGAGTTTGGGAAAATGAATCCATGACAAATGGGATGACTGTAACTTTGTGGAAGTTCATTCTGTGTTTCGCCTGAAATGCTTGCTGGCTGAAATGATAAAGGAACATTTGTAGGATTTACTGGCATGTATATTACTTCGTTGGTAGGGTTAATTAGATTTTGTGAACATTCAAGAGGATAGGCGTTAAAAGACGTTTGACGAGTGATATTACTAATTCTTTCTTTATCTGAATTTGTATTTGATCTCTGAGTGTTAAAGTTATTCAAAGAAGAGCCTTGCGAAGAAGCTGTCATCGCAACATCAAGGTGGGATTTAATGACACCTTTTGAATTTGTACGCGATTTATAATTTTTGCGTTCATGTATACAAACACTGAAAATTTTAGCCGCCCTCAAAATTATGAATTCGCTGAGTGCATTTTTGTATACATAGCATCTTTACTAGATTTTTTTGAGGAACAAAACAATTCCGAATGCAGTGATTTGGTACATTATTTTTAGAAAGCTGCGAAATTCGGTAAATTTAGCATTGCGTTTAAGACTCTTTCACCAAGTTTCACAGGTGAATCTAAATGAAATCGACTTACCATTCTCACTATTCGACATGATAGGGCGTCAAGTCACCTTAACATAGATTAATAATAAATGGTTGCACTAAGACTTTGTTTTGGATGGCTTGATCTCTGCTTTTGAAGAGTCTCATTTAACATGTCTGGTCTGAAATCATATGGGAGTCATTTTAACTACTATCCCCTTGAATTAACCTTAAAAATCACGTTTAAAATATTGTGCACCGTATGTGTAAGGACAGGTGATAACTTATCTCCAAAATGTTTGTGAACAGCTTGTACAAATCTACAGATTTCTTGACTGTTGCTTTTCGCTGTTCCAAGACTGTTTCGGATCTTCTGAAGATTCCGACAAGAGTATTCCCTTGACTACTGTTACTCTGTTAAACCGACCGACTGGAGAGTGTTTAATTTACTTCAGCGCGAATATATAGCTAAAGCAAGTGAAATGTAGCTCGTGGGATTAGAAATTCCCGAAAGCACCCCGAAAATCGTGGTGGCTACAGCACAGTGTGGAAATCAATAAAAAAAAATGTAGATCAAACAAACGAAAGATAATACCAGAGACCGACTACCATACAGGTAAAATACCAGATGATAGTGTATGCGGGAAAACATGAATAAGGCTTAAAACAGAATTTGTCCGTATTATCATTATTAATTATTTTTCTCTTGGGTTCCGAGTGGAACATAGGGCTTCAACAACACATCTCCGCCTTCTTCTGTTTTCTGCCTTCCTCCTCATCTGGGTCCACGATTGCCTAAAGTCACACCCCCCTCACACAGTCTCCTCCATATCATCCTCACACCAAGGACCAAATCGTCGCTTCCTATTTGGATTCCACTACAGCGAGGGCCTGCATTTCGCGCGATGTTATTCGATGGTTTCATCAATGTGTTCCCGATCCATCTCCATTTCCTCCTACACACTTGTTGAGCGATCAGCTCTTGGTTCGCTTGTTCCCACAGTTTCTTGTTACTAATTCTGTCTGGCCACTTGTCCATTTGGTCTTCAGTATGAAGCCAGGGAAGGAAGCTGTTGATGAAAGTCTGCAACATGTTGGATACTTTTCGTGACACACTGGCCAAGTTACTGACCTACATAAAAGAGCTGACCGACTTGATATTTGTGTTGAAAATCCGAAACTTGTTCCTTATGCTGACCAATTTTAGATTTACAGACTGTTTTCAAGTTGGTGAAGGCGTATCTCGCCTTTCCGATTCCGACTTCGACATCTTCAACCGTTCCACGGGCCTGTAGTTGAAACGATGCTCTTAGATAAGTGAAGGAAGTAGCCTCTGTTATATCTCCTCCGTTGACGGTGATTGGTGCTGCTCACTGGTTATCTTCATCACCTCCGTCTTCTCTGTTCACTTGGAGTCCTGTCTTTGCCGCCCGCTTATTCAACCAATTTGTTGGTTTTCGCTTGCAAGTCTTCGAGTGTGTGTGACATTAGACATATATCATCTGCGGAATCCAGATCTTCTGGAGTCTTCTCACCGGTCGTCCAGCGTAATCCTGACTGCTCGCCCTCAACAGTCTGGCGCATAATCCAGTCCACCACAATTAAGAATATCATCGGTGATAATAGGCAGTCAGCTTGTTTGATTCGTGTATGCACTTCGAACGCCTCGCTAAGTTCTCCGTTTTGGATCACCTGACACGTGGCACCGTCATACAGCCAGCTGGCGAATGAGGTTAACAAAGACTCAGACACTGCATGCCACAGTGTCGAAGTAGTTTCCAAATTACTTCTCGGTAAACGCTGTCCGGAGAAGGCCTTTTAAAAGTCGATGAAGTTGAGGTAGAGGTTTGACTGACATTCTATGCTTTGTTCGGTGATGGTGCGTAAAGTGGCAATTTGATCAGCACATGATTTGCCTTCCCTGAATCCGGCTTGTTCTGGTCGGTGAGGCGGAGTTCTGTATCCAGCGCATCCTTTACTCTCCCCAGGTTGATGCGACTTATTGTTTTGCTTGGCGTGGACAAGAGCATTATTCCGCTCCAGTTCTTGCGCTGGCCTAAGTCTCACTTCTTTCGCACTTTGACGAGGTAGCCTTTCTTCCAGTCAGTAGACACCTGTCCTTCTTTCCAAACATTTTGCAGTAATGGAGAGAGAACATCTGCCGTGATCTCTGAGGCCATCTTCAGTGCTTCGGGAGGGATGCCGTCTGATCTTGCTGCCTTCCAGGACTCCATTAACTTGATAGCATTCAGGATATCTGTTTTCGTTGAAGGAGTGCTGTCCACTGGCATTTACGTGTGTTCTGTTGTTGGTATTTCTGAGTGAGTTGCCAGTGGTGGTCGATTCAAGAGTCCTTTAATGTGATCAGCCGACTGTTTGATTTGTTTCTCCTGCTTGGTGATCAGGTTTCCTTGGACATCTTTTATTGGTTTCATCATCTGGGTTGATTTCTTCCCGGATAGAGACTTGGTTATCTGATATAATGTACTGATGTCTCGTTTGCCTGTGGCCCACCTGGTCTGCTTCAGTTGTCAGTGTGTCGTAGAATTGTCATCTGTCTTTTCTAGCACTCTTCTTCACTTCTTTCTTGATTCAGTGCAGTGTACAATGAACTCAGTCCCTCCTTCTGTTGTTCACTTTTGCATTGAGTAGTCATATTCTCTTTCACCATCCTCTTCTCCTCATTAGCTTCCAGTTAGGTGTCTGTTGACAGCCGTTCCTTGTCTTGTCTCTTCTGAGAACAGTTGTACACGTTTCCTTAAATATCGCTTTCAGAGAGTTCCTATGTTCTTCCACACATGATTGCTCAGTGATGCCACGTAGTGTGTCTGACTTTGTTCTGATCTGGTCTGCAGCGAAGGCATCCCTTGTAGTTTTGTCCTTCAGTCTAGTTTCCGAATGTTGAACTTGAATTGTGGTCTGCCTCCATTTGTTTTCATGTATTTAAACTTCACCTTGAAGGTTCCTTGAACGAGATGATGGTCTGAGCCCACATCTGCTCTCCTTGTCGACTTCGTGTTCAGCAGGCTGCGTCACCATTTCCTTGAGCAACATTGATATGAAATCTATTTGGTTTGCGGTATGTCCATCAGGCGAAATCCATGTTGCTTTGTGTATATCCTTGTGTTTGTACATGCTCCCTCAAATCACCAAATAGTTGAAAGCTCAGAAGCCAGCGAATAATTCTCCGTTCTCATTCGTTTCGCCGAGTGAGAGCCTCTCAACCCATGATGAGTTGTCTTCCTGTATTATCTACTTACAGATCGGCTGCCATTCATTTTGCCCATTAGGATTTTGATGTCACCACTTGGGATCTAATCTTTTACTGTTCGTAGTTGTCCGTAAATATCCTTTTTCTTTTCTTGTTCCGCGTTGTTTGTAGCGTGGTGCGCAGCATTGGATAATTCTTACCTTCCTTCCTTTAGAGTTGAATTTTGTTGTCATGATCCTGGATGAAATTGGTTCCCACCACACTAGGGCTTTGGCTGTCATTGGTGACACCATGATAGCCATTCACTGCTTCAGCGTGATGTTGGTTGTCGTCTGGGTGACCGGAGTAGATTACTGACAGCCCATCTGGCAATTTTGATAGTCCACATCCATTCCATCTGATTTCGCAGATACCAAATACTTCTAAGCCATTTATTCGCATCTCTCCAGTTACCTGGTCAGCCTTCCTAGTCTCATACACTGCACGGACATTGCACGTCCCCATTCTTACTGTTGCTTTCATCGAGAGAAGACACACCGGCTGACCGGCTTCCCGAAACCTGGCTTTCACCAATCCAATATGCATGTCGCCTCTCCAATTCGAGCGAAGAATGCGATTTTTGTTTGAAGTTTTTTATATTTTTAATATATTTTCTGTGTTGAAGTTTCTCTAGTGGTTTGAAAGACTTAGTATTGTGGGACTGCTCTCCCCACGCTCAACCCTCCCTCTTTACCCGGTCTTGGGACCGGCTAGAAAACCAGCGAGCTAGTTAATTAGTATGTAGTCAATATTGAGTAGGTTGTAGAATTTGAATCGCAAACTGGGTGGGTATTTAGTTGTTAGTTGAAGAAGTAGATTGTATTGTGATCACTGTTATCGAGTTTATCCTCCACCTCTATCGAGATCAGCTATGTTTTGTGACACAGGATTAAGTCAACAAAACTGTGATGTCGTGCTGGAAGGTGTACTCACTGCCTCCATACTCCTACATCCACAGCTCCTGGGAGCTCTTCGTGGCTTCTAGGTATAGTTCAGGTATCACTATTCACTCCAGGGAGGATGAAATCGCCCCGAACTTGTTTGTAGTGGAATTTCAGCGTCGGTTCATGCTCTAGTATTTCTGTGATAGCCGTATCAGTCTTTTTGAGACTATCAGGGGCTCTGTATAAACATCCCACAAGTATTTTATTTTCATTCATGTAGATACTTATTCACTTAGATTCTGGGAGTTTGCTGATAGTTGTTTTTGTGCAAGTATTAAAGTCAATGGATTTACAAGCATATGTTAGACACCCGCCACCTCTTTTGTCCACTCTATCATTCTTGTGGATTTCATAGCTATCAGTTATGAGCGTTGTAAATTATTAGTCAGCCAGGTTTCAGTTACTAGGATCAGTGCTAGCCGTTCCATTTATACCATGATGAGAAGTGAATTTATTACGTTGAGGAGAGGTCAACCATTTAAGGGCATAATTTTCAGAAAGCCAGGGTTATTTGGAGGATAGTTAGTAAGTTTTCTTCTCACTATCCCTAACTCCTGGTTGCCTATTTTATCTTCGGAGGAATTCTCAAATGAGGCAGTGTCAGAGTCTCTACTATTCACTAATTAAATTGTTCAGAGAGAAAGGCTATTGTTTG